GTCAATCATACTAATTTTAGTTAGAAATCGGGCGACATAATTTTTAGTGTGCAGGTGAAGTCCGCTCTTAACTGAGGCCAAGTATGGGGCGTTTTCTTCGAAAGCTATACAGGAACTATTTTTCTGTATTTGTGATAACATTTTTTGTGGGAGATGCTACAAACGGTATGTAAAGTATGCAAGAACTCCTCAGCTAGTGCTTAAGAGTTACGATATTGTTTTTAATTGCAGTTTGTTATCTTAATACTTTTTTCCTTCCCACAATTTCAACAAACGAAAGTCATCGATGCGCGTGGAAAAACTTTCAGCCGAGGTACCGATAGAGGACTGGCCTATGCCAACTTCAAGGCTCACAAGTTTTCGTACCTGAACATCATTAGCATTACTTCAGATTATGTTATGAAAGGCAGTGAGTGTGGACTTGCTTGTGTCAACATACCTTCATGCTTCTCTTTCAACTTAGCTGCATTTCAAGACATCTTCGGAAAAATACTGTGTGAATTACTTCCATCGGACATGTACAACAACTCAGACAAGCTTGTCGCCCGTCGGAGTCACCACCACTTTAGTATCATGGTAAGTTCGAAATCGCAATATTCTAAACAAAAATTTTAGAAAGTAAGATTGCCTCTACGTAAAATAAATTTTCTATGCATAGCCTTTTAAGAGACTTCTACTATCAACGAGAGGGACTTTTTCTGTCAATATCAGAGTCTTGACTTGGATGATCAATTTTGGACCACTGTAACATTTGGAACTTTTCTGTCCATGTGCCTCAAATACTTGTCAGATCGTGTTCGAGTGGTGTAAATGAGGTAATGCAAGAACTCTATTATCAAGAAAATCTTTCCGATTTTTGAGGAGGCCCTTAGTTGAGAAGAAACAAAGAGAAAAAGCGGGGAAAATTCGTTTTTGGTTATGTTGAGATCAATGTTAGAAATATAGCATCACTCGATAGGAATTGTTCTCCTCCCAGAAACTTTTCATTCATTGTTTTTCTTCTCAAAGTTTCTGTGCCGTGGCCGCTAATCTGTACAAATGGAAAAGACAAAAAACAAACAAATGTGTGTGGTTCGATTTTTTTTGGTCACTTTTGTTAATCCCCCCCTTTCACTCCCATTCTATGCATGTGTGGCTTTCACTGCGCTGTAGCTTTGTCCTTTACCCGTTTAGTCTCCGTGCATCAGTTGGCCGTGTCAGAACAATGGGAAATGCGCTGCACAGTACGAGAAGAACAGCTATGTGTGTGTTTGCGGGAAAGGATACACCGGGAAACATTGCGAAATGGGTAAGAAATCGTAGACTTTATCAGCTAAGACCGGAATTTCATGTGCACAGTGTTGGCATTCAATATTTAGTTATGTAACTTCAAAACGTTACTAGTATAGCAGAGAAGACGATTGGAACGCACAGGAGAAATCACGGTTTAATTGAATGAGGTACGTAATCAAAATTACAAGCGAAAATAAAGAGATTGGTGTGAAATCACAGAAANAGTAATTTTGCCACCTTCACTCAGCAGTTTCTCTTCAACAATACTAGCAGACGAGCCTGATGCAAAAATTTGATGATCGTCTGCATAAATGGAGATTCCCTTCTCAGTTATATAAGTGAGATCATTTTTGAAACGATTACAAAAAGCTGACGTTTCGAGCGTTAGCCCCTGTCGAAGCGAATAGAGGAATCGTGGGTTGCGTATGCTTTTAACGGCAGAAAATGGAGCTACATCACACATCAAAACCAGTCGCTAGACATTTTAATTTACCTAATCATTCTAAGCAACATATGGCAATCTGCGGTCTTTCCTTACACTTAGGTAGCACGGAAAGCCGTAAAACTCTCGAACAAAAGCTCACCTTTCAAACCGGCGGTCTAAATCCCACAGGGACCAACGAACGCTTTTCATTCAACTAATATATGTATTCGTGTTTTTCTCGTTGCCATGTTTCCACCAATAACGTAGCTCCATTTTCTTCCTTTAAAAGCACACACAACCCACAATTCCTCTATTCGCTCCGACGAAGGGCTAACGCTCGAAACGTCGGCTTTTGTAATCGTTACAGTGGCCAATTTACCATTTCAACTTTAACAACATTCTCAAAATTACCCAACAACATACGCTCATGCGAGAAAGGTAGGTAAAGCCTACACGTGAGCCATGTGGCTTGTCGGGTCGGCACTTAACTCCGGTTGCCGTAGCATGAAGCGAAAAGGAGTATTTTTACACCCCCCCCCCCCCGATGGGATGCTAGTTCATCGCAGGATTACCCCCACTAAACTCGCCGGTACCCATTTATACACCTGGGTGAAGAGAGGCACTGTGAGAGTAAAGTATCTTGCCCAAGAACACAACACAATGTCCCGGCCGAGGCTCGAACCCGGACCGCTCGATCCGGAGTCGAGCACACAACCATGAGGCCACCGCGCCTTCCACAAGCTCATGCGAGAACTTAAATCTTTTTAACCATAAACTTAAAACCTACCTATTTGAGAACTTTACTTTAGCCATTAGGAAATAGATCTTATGTTTTACTTCAATTTTACGTTTATTTACTTTGATTAACTTTATATTTCCTCTCACTTTGTTAAGCGCCTAGATCTATCGATTTATAATTTATTATTGGATAGGCGCTATATACATATAATTTATTATTATTATTATTATTATTATTATTATTATTATTATCATTAATATACTAGTGCTATGAGATAGTTCTGGAAATAGATATTATTCTTTTTTCGGACTTTTTTGAACTGACCAAATGTAATCAAACTAGAGCCAGTCACGATTTTAAGCTCTATGTAAAAGCAGTCATTTTAAATTGCTATAAATTTTCTTTCTCTGCACGGATCGTTGATGTGTGGAATAATTTTCTTAAGGAAGGAGGGGAGTGATTTTGAATTGTGTGATCACGAGAAAAATACTAACACCACTCTTCAAAGAGTGCTTGGATATATTTATGTGCACCCTGATTTCTGTTTGGTTGGTCAAATAACACCACCCAGCTTGACCAGGTATTTTATCAATTTTTTCTCTTTAACTTTATCTGTAAAAAGTAAACGGTGTTCCTTTGGAGTAGAAGGTGGTAAAAATCAGGAATCGGAGCTCTATTTTAACGACTTGATTTCTTTACAGATGTTGACGAATGTAGTTCTTCCATATCCGTCTGCGACCTGAATGCCAATTGTCAGAATACCAAAGGCTCATTTCGTTGTCAGTGTGTGTCTGGATTTGCTGGTGACGGGAAATCTTGCTCTGGTAAGGTTATTTAAAGCAGACTTAGTGGTGAGGTAAATAATGACCCTAGCCCGTTCAACCTATCGATTATGGGGTCTCTCCTTAGCAAAGAGGAATGGATGGTTCATTAGTAGCAGAAACCTTCCAAGGAAATTTGATGAATTCCTGGGGGGTTTGTTTGATTGGATGACGAGCCATCTAAGAGGACCATAGCCCTTGACTTCCTCTGATAACAGGAAAAACAGTGATGGCAAAGCAAACCCAAAACGGCGGAAATCGTCAAAAACAACGACGGATACACAAGAAATGAGTCAAAATGAGTCAGTTTTATCAATCTCAAGTGTAAAATGTTCATATTTCGGAATATTTAGCGTTGTAAATGGACCATATTTCGTTGCTCATACTATTCTTTATAACGCATTCAAATTCTCAACGGTTCCTCGCATGACTTAACATCGCGTGACGTTTTCAAGAAATAATCTTTCGTTATTCCTCGAGACGTGAGGCCGGGACACCTGTGGTGACGTATCACAGTAATTGTCAACAAACTTGTACAGGTAAAAAAAAAGATAGAAATAATATATACATACATCTTTTGTTGGATTACTATTCTACCGTCCTTGCTGATGTTGTTAGAATGCAGTCTTGGGATTATTCTTGAAAACTACGTTCAGGTTGGTTTTGGCGATATTTGTCTCTCACTAAATAATTTTCAGTCTGATCTTTCCCACGGTTCCATTGCCCCACGATGATAACTCCCTTTTTTTTTGCAAACGTAATTAGCCTATCCTTTCTCTTCTTTAAGACAAGGTTGTTTATCAATCTAATACAGTATTTTACTACTTTTGAAATAAAACTCTACATCTGACGGGCTCTCATCCTGCTTTAACAGATGTGGATGAGTGTCAGACGGAGTCAATATCTTGCCATTTGAACGCCCAGTGTGTCAATACGATTGGTTCCTATGACTGCAGATGTTCGCCCGGTTCACCATGCTCAGGTAACTTCTAAAGAGAAAAAAGAAAAAGACCGGTAACAGAAAAACACAATTACAAAGGTGTTTTTGTACAAGCAAATTAAAACGTTAACTTCAAATTCTTTTGTAGTAACAACCCTAGATTGGACGCAATTTTTCAAAAACATGGAGAATGTCTCTTGAGAAAAATCACTGGATCAGTTCCCCAGTATTTGCTGGGACATTTTCGGAAAGGATATCATTATTCAGCCTAAAAAGATGATACGATCGTCGTTGAGGCAGCTTAGTCTCTAAAACCAATTAATCGTATCTTTTATTCACGCATCACTTTAATTACGTTACTTACGCAGCAACTATCCTTTTAATCGGCGGTGGAGCAAACTACGGACGCGTAGAAGTTTATCACAACGGGACGTGGGGCACAGTGTGCGATGATGGTTGGGATGTCAAGGACGCCAATGTGGTTTGTCGACAGCTTGGCTTTTCTAATGCATCAC